CTATGCGCCTACTTGATTATGGAATGTTATGGGATATAAGACTGTTCCAGTAAACACAGAGTATATTTTGTCATTCTTAACGCGTCCTCTACGAGACTCTACCAGACAGCACTAGTCGGTGGACCACCGACTAGTGCTGTCTGGTAGAGTTAAGTCTCGTAGAGGACGCGTTAAGAATGACAAAATATACTCTGTGTTTACAGGAACAGTCTTCCGCCCCATAACATTCCATAATCAAGTAGGCGCATAGCTCTTGTTCCAATATTTGCATCCACACCTGGGCCGTATCTATATACTGTCTTGGTTTGGCATTGACGGTTCATTAGCGATGCTGCAGTTGAACGTCGGGCTAGCCTAGGCCCTGCTCAAGCTGGTCATAACGTTTGGTCTTCATCTTTACCCTAGCTGCACCGATGAGGCCTAGAAGGCCGAAACGGATCCGTCTGCAGATATTGGGATTTTTTTCCAGTGGATATTTAGTTTGTTTTGTCATTCTTGATCGGATTTTCTCTCCTGTTCCGTTTTAACTTTTATCATTATTTGCATTTATGTGGCTGCTCGTTGTTTTTATGGGTTTATCCCATTTGCCATTAAATTTATATATATATATATATTATATATATATCAACTATTGCCTCATAAGGGCAGTAATTAAAACTGGAGGCAGTTGACCTAAACAAGATCTATTAATCAATCAGCCGAGTGTATCTAGAGCTGCTCATCGGAGCTAATAAAAAGAATTAAAACTAGGTGTAGGCGTAGAAGTCATCCAGCATTCTTTATGTACAACTTGCTGATGGTAATTCATACATTTTAAAAGTAATTATAGTGTCATTTCAGAAGAAAATACTCAGACGCTTTAATAACTGATGTCAAACTTACCGCTGTCAAGGGAACTGTGGAAATTTCGCCTAATTGTCGTGATCTAATTGTAAAAAATATATAACATTGTTGAAAAAATATGTCGAAATCAATGTTTTCACTATCATGAACCAACGTCTTTCGTGTGATTTGAAGAATGCATAAACAAAAGAAAAGTATGAAGAGGATGATGATAATATGATGATAATGATAAAAAGAAATCGTAAGACAACGATAAGTTATAATCATGAAGAATACGAAGATGGTTACAATATACGAAAATCGAGAAGTTGATGATGATAATTTTGATAATGATAATAATAATAAGGTGATGATAATGATGATGCTGATGGTATAATACATAAAGCCGGGCACTCACTGCGCCCGACGTTCGTGAGCCTACGCGAATGTATATAGAACGCAACGCCACGACGTGAACGGATCGTTTTTGATTGCCATCCGTTCAGACTGCCACGACAATCAGCAAAAGGCGCCGTGTCGTCTAATACTCGCAGGGGAGGAGTTGTACTCGTCATACAACCGTGTGCGGTTTAAGACGCAATAGCCATCATGAAGAAGACGATGATAGCGATAATAATTTTAAGGAAATCAAGTTCACCTTTCTAAAGAATAGCAGTCGTCTTGATGGATAGTAATCAGATGCGATGTCGTTGTTTCACTACTATTGACCACACCAGTGTATTTTCCTGAACAACCATCTACTTGAGGTACAATCTTAAGAACACTATACACCCTGAATGGTATTCAATATGGAAAGATGACAGTCACACAAATCAGAAATAATAATGTAATGGCCTAATGCTGTTACTAGTAATATTTTCCTATTTTAATAATAATGATGTTAACATTTATTTATGTTAATCTATTTTACAGTTTTATAAAATTTCAAGGGAATTATAATCATCATAATCATGATGATGACTGGATGATGATGATGATAATTCGTCATCCTCATGATCATGTCATCATCATCACAATCATCATCTTCATCTTCATCGTAATCTTCATCTTCATCGTTACCACCATCATGATCATCATATCACCATCATCACAACCGCCACTATCAACACCACCGATATCACAATCATTATTGACGTACGTACAGTAAAATCAAAAAAATATTTTAAATCGTTATCTCTATCAAACGAATTAATTTAACATTTTGATATGAATGCTCACCATAAAATAACTAACACTGTGCAAGTAAAAAGGCCTCCTGAAGCTGCTAAAAAAAATCCTCGAACCTGCAAAATTAACGATGTTAGTAATATAATATAGGCCTCTAGGTAGCACTTTTACCAATGTTACCGAATGTATACTGCGTTCGGCACAAGCGGCATATCAATTTAAATCTGACAAACAAGTAGGAGCCAAAATTACGAATGCGTTCTTTTGCTGTATTTTTTTTTCTTTATTTGTTCCTGATAATCAAATTCCATGTAAATACTTATTAATAAACATAATACAGTAAGGCAATATAGGGCATAGACCCACGCTCCCGCTGCGAGCCTTTTTTTTTTTTTTTTTTTTTTCTTTTTGTGGCTCTGCTGCCTTTGGCACTTATTTGAGTTTCCTTGTAATTAATTGCCATGTTATTATGTCTTGTAATTACTGTATTTTGCTTTACTTCTTTCGTAATGTATCTTGTATCTGCTTGCCAACAGAAATAAAATTTAAAAAAATATATCACTGTATTCACGTGTAAAAGCCTGTTTACACTATGACGATAACAATCAACTATACAAAGCTAAAAAACAATTGTTCATATTGAAAATAAAAGAAATGAGAAGTTTTCACATTAGCGCGATTCAATAACGATTTATCGTGTATACACTCAAACAAAATAATTTCACAAATCAAGTCAAATGACGTCATAATCATAGGACAACGATAAAATCGGTTTGAATACTACTGCCACTACTACTACTACTAGTAGTAGTAAACACTGAGCCTCAAATAAACTAAGAATACTCACTTGTTCTTTAACTGGCTCCACTTTGTTGTAAATGATGGGCAGGACAAGCATAAGCCCACCTATAAGACAGAAATATAAAT